CTGCCAGTCAGAGTGACGTGCTGTGAGCTTCCTCACAACAGTGCCCCAACACTGCCAGCCAGAGTGACAGCGCTGTGGTGTGCCTCACAGCAGTGCCCTGACTCTATCAGCTAGGAAAGGCAATGTGAGCTTGCTCCAACTAGTAGGTCTCCAATGGCAAGGGCTCCCTTCCAACAATACCCTGTCACTGCCAGCTAGGACAGCCGGAGCCGGGAGGCATCTCATGCAAAGCGCAGAGACAAGTGACAGACTCCAGCAGCTGGGCAAGTTAAAACTGACACGCATCCTGGCCATGTTACCAGAAAGAACAAGAGAGCAGGGACAGGCAGAGAAATGGGCGGTGCTGGGACCAGGAGCACAAACCCATGGGAGCAGAGAACTATGGGATCAAACAGATGACACAGACGCATGGAGGGGAAAGGACTTGGCCAAGGCCACAGAGAGTCAGTGGCAGAACTGGGGATAGAACCCAGGAGTCCTGATTCCCTGCACTGCGCTCTAAGTGCTAGATACCACTCCATCTTGGGGCAGAGGCTAGAATCAGGAGCCCGGACTCCCATCCCTGTGCTCTCACCACTAGCCCAGCCTGCCCCTGCGGGCAGGAGGAGGAGTGCTGGAAGCCCAGGGGTGTGAGGTGTCGGAAGGGTGGGCTGTGGCTCTGTAGCTCTCCAGATGCTAGCAGCATGCAGTGCCCAGGGGGTTAAGGAAGAGACTCTCACCCCCCACCCCATGGGAGGCTGAATGTCAGTGACGTTACCCCCCGAAGCAGCGAGAGGAAGGGGAAGGGGAGGGCGCTGTGCCAGCAGCTCCAAAATAGCAGCGGCTGGTGTGTGTGTGGGAGGCCCCAGCAACAGCCCAAAATAACCCAGCTACAATTACACATGCTGCTTAGTGACAGCGCGGGCGTCACAGCCCGAGTCCCCACGGGGAGCGAGGCCAGGTCATCCATGCCCAGTCCCTGCCCACTGCCCTGCCGGCCCTGCCCTGCTCACAACCAGGGCCACTGGGCAGGTGACGGTGGACCCTAATCTGAGCCGCAAACAGCAGGATCCTCCTGAGCACAGAGTCCCCCTGCCACGGCTCCGGGAGCTGGGCCTGGCTGCCCCACAGCAGTGCCCCGTCACTGCCAGCTAGGGGGCTGGAGTGATGTGAACTTCCCCACAGCA